CGGTTCAGGAGCATCCAGAACCTCAAGAACATAAAAAATATATATATATGCAAAGCCCTAAAAGACAAGCCCTGAACTAGAATCAACACCCGAGCATGCATAAACTCACCCAAGAACACCAAGAACGTTACAACAATCTCTAGGGACAAGCTCTAGACATAATTAAATACAAGATCATACTAATAACCACTCAGGGCCATCAAGAATATCAAGAATAACAAGAATTCACCATATAAATCTAAAGACAAGCTCTAACAAGATATACATACAAAATCACGCATTCAATCAACCAATGGAGACAATCAATAACCAATAACAAGGAAAATAGGTTTTGTAAGACATGGGTTACCACTTAGCCTTAATCAATTTCCTTGGCTACTAACGTTCTTATCTAAAGGGTCGTTTGGTTCACGGAATGTCAGATTATCTTAGGGAATGTTAGATTGCTGGAAATGTTAGATTACTGGAAATATTAGATTCCTATGTTTGGTTAAAATAGGGGTATCATATATAATCATGTTTGGTTTAGGGTTATCTTTTATACACACACTATAATATCCTTAACATATTTTCATATATTTTAATAAATTTAAAAATTAAAATAAATAAATAAGATAACAGTATCGTATATAATTACATGATTATTTTAAAATATTAACTAAAATCTTGAACTTGAGAAACAAAATTATTTAATATGCTAACCTAACATAATAAAAATAAAAAATATAATTACAAAAATAATTATATATATATATATATATATATATATATATATATATATATATATATATATATAAAACTAACATAACCAAGGTTATCTTACATAACCTAAGAAATTGAAGGGAATCACATTCCGTTCAAAATCTTATGTGGAGGGAATGTGACATTCTTGGGAATGTTAGATTCCCTAAGATAATATGAACCAAACATGAAATGTGAGCTTTGGAATGTCACAGTCCCTTGGTTAGTTATATAATCTGAACCAAAACGCCCCTAAGATTCTCTTATATAATCTAAACCAAACGCCCCTAAGATTCTCTTATATAATCTTCTCTTCTATTATAATAAAGCAGAATCAAAAAGTTCCCGCCAAGTGCAAAAAAAAAAAAAAAAAAAAAAAAAAAAAAACAGAGTTTTGGTGGCATTAAAATTACGTCGTTTGAGAGTGAATAGCCGACTCTTAGATTTTCCAATCACAACTTTTGGTTATCTGAATGGTCACCGACATATTTATTTTCAATGCAAACTCTTTGATATTTGGAACGGTAGCATTAATTGCAATATATGTATATATTTCGTTTACGGGTATAAAACATCAATTCATCAGATCATATCAATATACAAACACTCTGCTATCACTACGAATTCAAACTTCTATAAACACGGCACTTCTATACATTCTGGTATGTGAAATCTACCCTTTGAAGACTAGCAATGCTATCTTGGTTCAGTTCCTGCATACATATGAAATCCCAAAAAAGAGAGGTAGTGAATCGATCAAATGTAAGGAGCGTGTGTTCAATGACCTAGATGTATGCGTATATTTATATTTACAGAATAGTGTTAATATCATATCGTAGAGTGTCTGAGTTTTTTCCTTTCAAAAAAAAAAAAAACCTATTGTATCTAACTTTTCAGTTTGTATTTGTTTTATTCCTTCATACAGTTTCAGAGTACTCTATGCAATAGTTATTTGAATTTTCATACCGGTTTGAGTTCTATATATTTTTCTGTGTGTGAATTTTCAATTCAAATAATTATTCAGGATGACTTTTTTTTTTCTTTTTAATTCATTCCTACATCTAGTTTGTTCTTTCATTCGTATAAACATTATTTAGAAAAATAGAATGCATATAACATAAGCCAACAATTTAAACTAAATGACAGAAATTATTAGCATACACATTCAAAAATTGTTAATTTTCTAATCATTCTGTATAGTTGTACTGTTCTACACATTAGTTTGGGTTTTTGTAATTAATTTTAAAACCTTTATGTGACTTTTTTTTTTTTTTTGTGTATTATTGGTAAGAATACATTGTTTTGTACTTAAGAATTGTTAATTTTCTGATCATTCTGTATAGTGTTCCACACATTAGTTTGGGTTTTTGTGATTAGTTTTAAAACACTTACGCGACTTTTTTTTTATTTTTTTTTATTTTTTTGTATTATAAGTAAGAATACATTTTTTTTGTACTTACAAGTGTAAATTACAAAAGGCTTTCAAGCAATGAAGTCAAAAGGTGATAAAGAAGGACAAACAGTCATGAAGAAAATAACAACTGTGATGTATTTAAACAATCATTTAATATAAATTCATTCCCATACACTAAAAGTGTGTATATATATATATATATATATATATATATATATATATATATATATATATATATATTTGAAGTAAGATACACAACATTATATAGTTAAAGACCTCTGGAAAAATATGAAAAAAATGACAACTTTGCAGAATATTGGTCAAAAGCTGAAGTAAAATTTTGAAAACAATTGAAGGTCAATTTTCATCTTTTGCTATTATTTAGTAATGTTCTCTTTGTAATTTAATTTCAGTATTTGTTTTAGGTTTTTACATTTTTCATAGTATATGTGTTCAATAATATGTAATTTCAATTAAAATTTAAATGATGTTATATATGCTTTACCTTTCAAATTTACTATTACTCCTACATGTAAATTTCCACAATCAATAACTTTTACAAAGAATAACTTTAATGTTAAAATTTACTTAAATTATTACTGTATAAGTAACATCCGTGCATCGCACGGGTAAAATACTAGGGGCGTTTGGTTTAGAATTCTCTTTAAGTAAACTAACTAGTTCATATGATGCTACGCAGAGTTCACACAAAGTTCTAAGAAGACAAAGGACACTTTTATAATAAAAAATAAAAAATAAAAAATAAAAAAATTGTCCTGAATGATTTTTTTGGCGCCTCTATTCTTTGTTTTGGTTACGGTCCAAATGGTGTTTTCTCTGTGAACAATTATGCCATGGATGGAATGTTTGATTTGGTATGTGAACAGTTCTGCTAGGGATGACAATATGACATGGTTCATTTGGGTCAGTGCGTGGTGGTATTTGTCAACAAACAATTATGCCATGGATGCATTTTTTTTTTGAGAGAGATTTTTTTTCGTTTTTATTTGGACTATTATTACTAATTTCTATAGTTTTTTAGCAAACACTTGTGTTAGACCATCTTACGACAGTACAAATCTGTATTAAATGATGAATTTTATAACAATAAAAAAAAATAGTAGTACAAATTCTTATTTAAAAAATGTACTTTTTAAATACAGATTCTTTTAAAATGAAATCTAATTATTTGTGTTTTTTATCCAACTATTTAATAATTTATAATTTTGATTTTTTTTTAATTATTACTGATTAATTTTTAATAGTTAAAATAAAATTGATACGAGACCATAACTTATTAACATTTATGCTTACATTTTTATTCCGTGCATCGCACGGGTAAAATACTAGTTCTCTTATATAATCTAAACCAAACGCCCCTAAGATTCTCTTATATAATCTAAACCAAACGTCCCTAAGATTCTCTTATATAATCTAAACCAAACGCCCCTAAGATTCTCTTCTAATTGATCTTTCTAAGCTTGATGGTGGGAGAATTCCTTGGCTGGGTTTCCTGGGGACAGGGCTGGATTTTGGGCTGTGCAAGCAGCTCAACAGCATAGGGCCCCAACTTTTAGAGGGCACAATATTTAATTTTTACTTAGCTAGTTAAGATATTAAAAGACATAAAAATTACAATTAATCTTAAAAGATTACATGGAGGAATGGTAAAAACATGTGATTATTGTGTTTTTTTTAAGATGTCAAAGGTTCAATTCTAGCTTGTGACATCTTTAATTTTTTCAAAAAATCCTTTTATTATTATTGGAAAAAAATTTGACTTTTGATAGGGCCTCGTTTATTTTAAGAACAGGGCCACACAAAACTAAAAGCCGGCCCTGCCTGGGGAGTATTTTCGATTAAGAAAGGTGAAAAAGGTTCTAATTGCTTCCTAATCTCCTATTTATATGTTTAGGAAAATCATACAGAGTGCCCACTTTCTTTATCCCTTACGGGCTTAGGGCTCTGGTTCAGGCAAGGGTTCACAATCCATTGTGGACCCATAATTCAATTAAGGAAACTCTAATTAAATAAAATCATTTTTAACTCTTTGATTAACGGAACTAATTCAATAATTAATCCGAATTTGAAGACGGGGGGTTACAATGTTAATCAGGTATGTGGTCTGGTTGCTTGACATGTCTTCAAAGTATTATTTAGTGCGCTTCCCTTCTGAATTCATTTTTTTCTTGATGGTGCAATTTGTCAGTCAATTCGTGCATTTGCTGAATCATCTTTTCGAAGAAATGGCCCCTTTACTTGAGCACAAAAAGTACAATTTTGAAGAAATATGATGGAAGATAACTTCAGATTTAATCTTGCCCTTGGGGATGGCGTAAATTTCTGTTTCAAGAAATGAACAAAATTCTCATTTTTTGATAATATTTTATGGATATCCAGTTTTTGTCAATCAAGAAACTGATACTAGTACTTGGTTTTCTATTTGCACCAGGTTCAAGGAAATCTTTGAAGAGGTATATCAGGAGAAGTGGAAAACAAAGTTCGATGAACACTCAATATGGTTAGTTTACAGTCCTAGTAAGCTATGCTTCAGATTTAAATTCTTAGATATCTTAGATTGATCTTCAGAATGACGTGGCTGACATTTAGGTATGAGCACCGCTTGATAGATGACATGGTAGCTTATGCAGTAAAAAATGATGGCGGATATGTTTGGGCATGCAAAAATTATGATGGAGATGTGCAGAGTGATTTACTTGCTCAAGGTGAAGTATTTCGAGCCTGATTAGCATATAGTATTTTGAGTGAATGATTATTGCAATTCCCTTGATATGAGATATATTAATAGGATCAAATTAAATCATCACTCATCAAACAACTCCAAATGAAGTTGATTCTTTCACTATTTGGCCTTATGACTTCTGTTTTGGTTAGAGATTTCTCATCATTACATCCTTCCCTGTTATGGAATGTATCTGTTGGATTCCTAATATAATATGTGTGGCGTTCTTTGCAGTTATCCTTTGATGGCAAGACTTTAGAAGCTGAAGCGGATCATGGAACTGTAACTCGTCACTTTCGGCTGCATCAGAAGGGACAAGAAACCAGCACAAATAGTATTGCATCCATTTTTGCATGGACCAGAGGACTAGGACATAGGTATCCCCTCAAAAACCAAGTCATCTCATTACTTGTATTTGAGGCCAGCCAAAAACTGTTCATTAAGTTCTTTTTTAGTATTAAATTTGGGCATTTCACTAGTTAGTGAAAGTTTGGAGTAGGATCGTATGCACTTACTTACTAGCTATATATACCAGCTTAGATATTGTCCCCTTAAAAAAAAAGTATCTTTTTCTTGTTAATGCTTATTATTTCATTAATTAATTTGTTTTTTGTGGATCTTGTACAGGGCTGAACTTGATGAGAACAAGAATTTAATGGATTTTGTTGAGAAACTAGAGAGTGCTTGCATTGAGACAGTAGAGTCGGGGAAGATGACCAAGGATCTTGCACTGTTGATTCATGGACCCAAGTAAGTAGCACCGCACTGTTATAGTAATTGTTTGATATTTTGAGCTGCTGAATTTTTAGTTCCTGCTTTGATAAATGCAGCCGCCCTTACTGGCTTATAATTTCCATTCACAGGAGGATTGGAACCAATGAAAATAAGAATGAGTTGAAAATAATAATAATAATAATAGAAAAAGAATATTATTTGGTAGATGGATGGATGGGGTAGCAAAAGAAAAAATAGTATAAAAGGAGTGTTTTGGGGAGGGTTTATGGGTGTAGGATATTGTGCTTATAATGCTTTTTAAATAGAAGTATGTATAGTTAATTAAGTTATATTTTATTAATTAACATATTTTTTATTTTTTATATTTTTTATATTTTTTTTATTCTAGTCTAGCTCTATGAATTGAACATGCATTTAATTGCCAAATGTATGTATGTATTTTAACTAACCCACAAATTGAAGGATCTGATGTTACAATAAATACTGCAAGCAAGCACACCAACACATTAACAAATTAGAGTCATACTTTTGTGTCTGCCTCACACATCTAACCTGAAAATTTAAATTCCTGGCCGGGGTTTTTATGTGCATGTTGTGACCTTGTATTGCAATTTTTTAGAATGATTTGAAAGTAAATAAACACTACTTATTTGTTCATTTTTGCTATATATGTTGGAGGGTTTGAGCTGATAAGTTGCGGAATGGAGCATTTTGGACATGAATGGAAGGATTTGGGACGCTAGCATATGCATGAGCTGCTAATCATGATTCAATGAAGGCAGGTAGCGGGTGAGCATGCAACACCAAAGTCACAAATCTTAAAGAGCACAAGTCGAATTGATGTTCTCATATTGAAAGAAGGTGCCCTTGGTGGCAACAAATGGGAATTCAGAGATGGAGGATTCCGTGTATTAAAGTATGGTTGTAATCTATGAAGTTGGGAAGTCACTAGTTGTCATATCTGATCTGATCTGATAAGAGAAACACCTTTGTAGTGCGAATTACAGCAATTAGGCGTTTGTTTGCACATACAAACCCTTTAATTACTTTAATTTGCAGAAAGTGCTTCTTGAGACTTTGTTAGCCAATGAATAGTGCAGTGGAATTCATTCTTGCTGTTACTCACTACTTTATATTCTGATTGTTCTGTCATTCTGATCAGTAATTTTTACTGGAGAATAAGTTGGTCCCCTGGATTTGAAAGAGTTGCTAGACAGATAGTAAAGAACTGCAAAGGATTACCTCTTGCAATTAATGTAGTTGCTGGACTGACTCCTCTCAAACCCCAAACAAGACTTAAATTAAATTAATGGGACCTAATTGCAAAAAATATAATGTTCATACATTAAGTATACATCATTCTAATCAGGGTGAAAATATCAATGACTTGAGTTACACCTTCTTACCTCATCATGTTAAACACTGTTTCTTGTCACTTGGCTTTTTCCAGAAGACAATGAACTTTATAAAAACTTTAATTTATTGTTGATTTTTGGGTTCGGAGGAATTTCTAAAGATTTTGAGGTCTAAGAACTTGGAAGATGTGGCTAGGGAATCATTTCAAGCTCTTGTAGATAGGAATCTTGTTTTACTTTCTACAAAGATTAAAAATAATGAATCATTGATAGAATATCAAATGCATAATGTGTTGTGAGAATTGGCCTTGAGAGAAACTCAGAAGGAAAATCTATTATGTCTCAAAAATGAGAATTGGCCTTGAGAGAAACTCAGAAGGAAAATCTATTATGTCTCAAAAATGATAGCTCTATCTTTAGTGTGGAGTTTAGGAGACTCAACTAATAAATTCTTCTCATATATCTCACCCATGGAGTACCCATTCAAAAATTTAATTTGTTGTTACAACTCTTTATCTCATACCTTCAACACCTCTTTAGGTTTGGATTTACCAGGTACTATATCGCTACACTAAGCAGTTTCATTTTCATTTTAAATTTGTAAGGAATTGATACTAGAAGTGCCTGAAGACGATGCCAATGCGCTCAGAGTTAATGGGTCTAGTGCATTTGGGATGGCTAAAAAATTATTCTACTTTCAAACTTTATGATCTACCCTTGTTCATGTTACAAACTAGATTTTTGAGGATGATAAATGAACCCCTTAATATTATGGAATTACCCCAACTGAAGAATCTCACTTTTGAGGGAGGCATTATACTAGTTCCTCTATGATCAGTTTATCATAATTTGGAGATCGAGCATTAGGTTTTTGGATTACAGGAGTTGTTCAGAGGAGATGTTTATGAGTGTAATGTCATCCATGTATTTATATATGTGAAACTTGCATAAAGGTAGACAATTCATTTATAAGGTTCATTGTTGTGAAAAAGTGTATGTGTGATCTTGTTGATCCTTGATGCACACCAAAGCTTGGCATGTCTTAGAGAGTAATTCGCATCAACGAGAATTGGGTGAAGATCTCAAGCCATCTTCTTCAATTCATAACTTCATTTATTTTCACTTTTGAGAGGAGGGAGAATGAGGTTCATTAATGCTTTTGTGCTTATGAGTGTGGAATTGGTAGCGTCATGAGAGTTGACAATTCCTTGCTCTAATTCTAGGCCAAAAACTCTTGAATTCCTTGGTGCATTGAGAGTGAACTTTCAAATTGGGCATTTCTCCCTTGTTAGATTTACCGCAAGCACTTGGAAAGCAATCGTTATACACTACACCACGGCACGCGTAGCACTGTGCGTCGCGCGCCTCCTAAAACGACGTCGTTTTGGGGTCGTTTTGGGAGGCGCGGTAGGAAGTTGTTGTGATTATGTATATTTGTTCATACAATTATGTATATTTGTTCATACAGTTATATACATTTTTTATACAATTATGTACATTCTTTTTATACAATTATGTACATCCGAATCAGAAAATTTGTGTGTATTATGTTAAGAGTTGATGTGTATTATGTTAAAAGTATATGTTTATTATGTATTATGTTAGATTATGTGTATTATCTTTTAAAAAGAGTACGTATATTTTGTTATATAATTATGTACATTCATGTATACAATTATGTGTATTCTAGTATAACATTATGTACATTTTTGAACATGATTTTTTTTTAAAGAAAAAATAACTTCCAGGACGGGAAATTTCAAAAAAAAAAAAAAAATTAAAACGACGTCGTTTTGCATCTGGGCGCACAGTGTAACGCGCGCCGTGGTGTAGGATATAAATTGTCCTTGGAAAGGTAATTACTCCTAACCCAACCCTATTTAATTTGTTTCCGTTATTGCAATTCTCATCTGTTAGTTTCCATTATTGCAATTCTCGTGCTTAATTGTTTGTACTAATTGTTTCCATTATTGCAATTCTCGTGATTAATTGTTTATACTAATTGATGGGGGGCAAATTATGTTGTGAAACCGTTTGCACCATTCATAGTGCACACATGTCTAGAACTCTAGATTCATAATTTCTATACTGTATATTAATAAAATCTATACTATAAATTCATAATTTTATAAATATATGTTCATAATTATAGAGCTATATATTCATAATGTTTGATGTTCATATTCTTAATTGTTGAACTCTGTATTCACAAATCACATAACTATATGTTTATAATTTGATAATTATACAGTTTAGAAATTATGAATCTACAGTACAGATATTATGAATCTGCAGTATAGAAATTATGAATCTACTGTATTTAAATTATGAACCTACGATTTAGAAATTATGAATCTACAGTATATAATTTATGAATCTACAGTATAGAAATTATGAATCTAGACTCGTGTACCATACATGGTGCACACGATTGCACAACATAACAATCCATCCATGGGGATATGGGACCCTAGGGTGTCCATTTTATTAGGAAAGTATTGGCCCAAGTGAGGTGAAGGAAGGAGGCAAATTATGGTCCACACAATGTTGTATGGACCATAACAAAAAGTATATTGTTGTTGAAGGAAGGACCCAACATGCACACAATGTATATTATTTTTGTACTGAATGTATATTATACAATATAATGTACACTCAGCACACAAATAATGTACATCTCCTGAATACAATGTACATTTTTAATATTTTATATACTAAAAGTACATTATTTTTATATTAAATGTACATTATTTTACAGTATACAAAACATGGTTCATACATCTTGTGTGGATCACGGTCCACACAATAATAATTGATTATATGAAAGCACATATATCTGGACCATATATCAACAGGATAATTACCCAGGGATATCCATTATATCCACTATCCACAATCACCATATAGACATATAGTATGGATTACAGTATGACATTGTGACACTATAATCGTGTTAGGTATAGTATGATAATCTGAGCGTTCATATGACATGCCATATTGATATGTCAATATTAATACATAGTCCGAAGATATCATCGTGAACCACCATCATACAATATTGCTATATTACGCGCATTGAATGGCCTCCCCCTAATGGGTAATGTTTTAAATATCCATAACTCTATTATGCAACTATATGTTACTGTGATTATAATGTAACATTACCCATTCATTTCCAATCTATGGATATCATTGGCTATAATGATTTAAATAGGGTGGCCCCAGCCAATATAATAGGAATTAAACTGGTACATGTGAGTTCCTTAATGATGAAAGATTGATACTAGGATTATAATGCAAGAGTAATAGGTTACACCACTAGTTTGCCATGCTATTCTGCTATGCAACTGAGTTACACCACTAGTTTGCCATGCTATTCTGCTATGCAACTGAGCTCAATCCTTGACAAGGAAAATTCAAGATATGTTGAATTCTCAAATAGGGTGGCTCTATTTGGCAAAGTTTATTTAGGAATTTATGGTTCATTTTGAACTATTAATAAATCATAAGTTATGTAATAAGCTAGTAGCTTCTAATATTTTACTTTTTCATCTTTACCCTTATTGTTTAAATAAATGAAATCTTTTACTCATCCTAATTAAAACCCTTTGGCCTATTCTCTTCTCCTATATTTTTATTCATCATTTTCCGCAACTCTTCACCACTCAGCAACTCCTTAAAGTTCTAACTCCAATCGTCCATCAGCGAAAATGTAGGTGAGACCTCTATTGAAATGGAGGAGATTCGCAACAATACTGCTACTTCATTATGGGGTGTTAGATCATGATTATGCTAATAGTTTAATTTTAAAATGTAAACAAACCTATTTAAATTTAAAACTATTTAAATTTTATGAAGATATTATTTTTAGTCTTTTTACATTTATCAGCTTATCAAAAAACTAATTTTACCAAACATTTTTAAGCATAAATAGCTAACTTAACAGCTCTTCAATTTTCAGCTTCTAGCTTATTGCTTTTCTATGTGAATATTAAATTATTGTAACCTATATGTCAATGTGCACACCGTACATGAATTGGTATAAGTCATTGTACACCAGTATCGTGGAGCAATTAACTCTTATGGTCATATTATGTAACATAAGACCCATATAATTTTTTGCTATAACACATGCATGATTAAAAGGGGGGTATATTTGGGGTTTACTATATGGACCATGGTATCCACGGTACATGGACATTGTAAACCAATCTATAAATATAATTGTTATGTTGATCATGAATCGTCGAATATATATGATGTGTCCCCACATCAAATATCCACATGATATGCACACGTGTGTGGATTATGGCTTATATATGATACACGGGTACTATATATATCGACGCTATAATTAGTGGCACAATCTACATATATTATAGTATATCCTATAACTACACTGAATGGGTTTATCACCATATGCTTATTCTGGGTTAACTTAGCTTGATGAACAATTTGCTAGGTCTGATACATAATTTGGCTGTCCTGATGTGTAGGGTACTATCAATTGACACTTATCTTTTTCAAGTTAAATTGTACACACTCTCACTTAAAGAGATCTTTGACTAAGGTCCAAATAAAAGAGTGTAAGCTTAACATGATAAATAAATAAATAAATAAATAAATAAATATATATATATATATATATATATATATATATATATATATATATAGGCGGAGCTAGGATTGAGTAGTGCAGGGGGCCAACTACTATGGCTGAAGTACTAAATCAAATATATTGAAATCGAGTTAACATAT